CTATTACCACCTCCCGGCCTGTAAGGGGCAGTATGTGATAGGTGGAGACTTATTTTGAAAGGTTCAAGCGGAAGTTGTGGTTGAATTAGCCAGGGAGCACATGAATGGAATGTTTTGGCGTCATGGCTGCGCACAGCAACAAGTTTATTCGCCTCCGCTTGTTTTTTGACTACCCGCCCCCGGCCGTCGTGGGGTGCCGCATGTGCTGGCTGCTCGTGGACCTGAACACGTGCCGCGTGGTGGCCGACCTGGAGAGCGTCATCCGGGAGAAGTTTGAGTTCAGCCGCAGCAGCGTCCTGAGTCTGTTCATAGAGGACTGCTACTTGCCTCACACGGAGAACATCTACGTAGTGCGGGACAACGATGACGTCAGGTGCGTGTTCAGTTCAGGTGTCACTGGGCGAGACAGATCTCAGTCTGGACAGCATCGTGTTGGTTCGAGTAGAAACAAATCACCCTGACAACCTGCTCTCCAAAGAAGGAGCTGATTTGAAAAAGGCATTCTTCTCATCTGGAATTTGGATCTTTGATTCTCTGAGCTAAACACTGTTTTTCACAGCAACGGATTTTCTGTTACTTCCTTAAATTATTCATAATTTGAACTTTTTCATATTTTGTGACGTTAGAACCAGATGAGACTGAGATCGTCCCGGACCATTCATTATATTTTCTTGGAGATTTTTTTGCAGTTTCCTACTGTTTTCTACCAGAATTACTCTGCATTTATTTTTCATTGATCCTCACGCCTCCAGTTTATCAGTGATTCAGATATCAATAGTCAGTAATTATTGATATCAACTGATATGAAAACTTACATTGTGATATGTTTTTCAACCCTAATGTCAGGTCACCAAAGTTCATTTTGCCTTCATGATTTCATGACTACTTGGAAACATTTCAATGAGTAATGTGTACAACTTATTTACTTTGCTATGAAAGAAAGATTTTTGTATTTATGCACTACTTTGTGTTCAGTTTTCAGTAAAATCAATCTAAAATCAATTAAAGCTTATAATGTGACAAAATGTGCAAAAATTTTAAAAGATATGAATAATTTTCCTAGACTCTGTGAGGACAGGCATGTGACCATTTAAAAACATTTGTGTGTTTTTGTGATCAGGGTGAAGGTGGAATGTCTGCCTCAGGTGAATGGACACAGCAGCTGTCCAGAGACGGCTGCTGTGACCTGCAAGAAGAGACAGAGAGACATGGCAGAGGTACCGAGCGTAGAGCACAAGAAGAAGAAGAAGAAGAAGAAGAGAAACGAGCTGGAGGACGGCAGGGCAGACGGGTCAGATTTAGTTAAAGGTGATAATGGGAATAAGATGTTAGAAATAAAGATGGTTGCAAAAAAGAAGAAGAAGAAGAGGACAGTGAGGTTAGTGGACAGAAGCCATCCTGCTGTCCCTGAAGCTGCTGCTGCTTCACTCATGCCCTTCGGCCCTGACAAGACCCCAGCAGGGAAAGTGAAAACACAGAATGTCTCCTCATCAGGCCCCAGCAGTAGCAGCAGGAATGGAGATAAAGCTTGTCATGAAGAAATAGCCAAGAAAAGCAGCGCTTCTCCTGCTGCTTCAAAGGAAGCTCCACACCAGAACTCCAACCCCGAAAAATCTCAACCTCCTTCCTCATCTTCACAAACAGACTCCTCCTCGGATGAAGTCAACACTTTAAAAGTCCCAGCCAGAACCAAAGCTTTACATCCTGACACCAGCAGCTCCAAGGCTGCAGCTCAGAACCAGAACCAGGCATCCAGCACAGAGCAGCCTCCACTCAACCGAGACAGTGAAGAAGAGATCCAGCTGGTTATCCGCCGGCCGCAGCAGCCTCTCCTGAACATCCCCAACCCGGGGGCCTGGCGGGGCCTCGGCAGGGGCCAGAACAGGAGGTGGGCCGGAGGGGATCCTGGAGAGTGCCCCGGGGTCAGAGGTCAAAGTGACGTAGAGGGATTCAGGAATGGCACAAAGGAGCCCTATTATCAGACTGACTCTCTGAGCAACAAGTCTGTTGTGCTGCAGGTGAGTCTCCAGATGTGTCTGCAGATGTTTGCTGTGTTTGTGTGGATCAGGACAGCACCACACAGAATGCTGCTGTCACTGGAATTCATTTTTTTATCATCATAACTTATGTCTTTCACAGATTTATAGCCTCTAACTTTAATATACTTTATTGGACCAACACAAACAGTGCAGAATTTGAAGTATGTTGGTCATCATTGTTTTATTTTGAAGTAAAAGTTTAGATAAAATGAAAATGCTTCCTGTTTGTACTCACCTGTTTATTTTAATATCTATGTGCACCAAAATTATTTTTTAACAAATCCTCTGATGTAGGCTTTAGAAGAACCAACATTGGAGTCTGTTTAGCCTGTAAAGCTGAAGGTAGTTGGTCAGGTTTAGGAAACAGTTACTACTCTACCAGTTTTATGTTAATCTCAACATTTTAGACACAGATGCATGTGTGCATGTGGCCATTAAGTCATCTGCTGTTAATAATATATGGCTGGACAATAACTTCAAGTCCCTTTGAGTAGAATGAAGCAGAACCCGTCCTGAAGGATTACAGCTCCATGCCACTGCTGGCTGCCCCGCCCCAGGTGGGCCAGAGGATCGCCTTCAAGGTCAGTTTGGTTGAACAAGTGCTAATGAGTCAGGGCTGATCATCACATGGAGATAAATGTAAATGTTATGTGTAAAACCCATTTAGTTATTTTAAAGAAACAGTGCACATAAAAACATATATATATATATATATATATATATATATATATATATATATATATATAAATTAATTTCTTTTTTTTCTGTTGTTTTACCCGGTGAAATCCAGCTTAGATTTTTATCAGAGACCCTTCAGCAAATGTCTGTGAACACGCCTACCTTCACAGGAGAAAGCTACTATGTTCAATAAAGGGAAAAATCATTCTTGCATATTTCTCTTCACCTTTCATTCATGCACAGTTGCTGGAGTTAACAGAGAACTACACACCAGAAGTATCTGAATATAAGGTGAGGAGAGTCAGCCTTGATGAAGTCATTGTTCTCATAACCTAACAGCGTAGCTGAATAAAACATCAAAGCTTGTTCTAGTGAATTCCTTATTCCTCAAACCCTCTACATGTACATCAGGAGGGAACGATTATCAACTTTGACCCAACAACCAAACAGATTGAGCTGGAACTTCTTAATGCCTCGCAAGGTAAGAGCTGTTTTTTTTTTTTTTTTCTATTATTGTTTAACATAAACAATAATAAAACCCCTCTCATCTCTCTTGTACTTCCCCTCTAGCTCCTGCTGAACCAGGCAAGTTTGACCTGGTCTATCAGAATCCAGATGGCTCAGAAAGAGTGGAGTACGCCGTACAGAGAGGATCTTCGGTAAGCTGCATGACCTTCCATAGATGTGTCCATGGCAGTAATAAAGTGTCTTAGTTTGGTATGATTAAATTAATATGCAATCTGCTCATTTAACATCTGTTGTTAATGTAACCACATACTATACCACAAACAAGTCAGATAAAGTTCACTTTTTCATTTATTATTTTTTTAATACCCCATTTCCTGTCTGGTAATTGCTTGTTTTGTAAACTTCATAATGTTTCAGTGACTGTCAGTAAAGTTTGCTTGATAAACCTTTGACTATGTCTTGAATACATTCTTTATTCTACTGCGTTCTTCACTGTCTCTCCTGCAGGTTATGGAACGTTGGGACTCTCTGCTGGAGCCAAGACTCATCATTTAAACATGAAAACTTACATTCACTTTATTAAATGAAATAAATTTGTTTTTATTAAAGTTAATTTATTGGGATTTGTTCTTTTCTGGATGGATTTTATTTTGTATATTGGTGCTGTGATGACTGGTTTTCTATAAAATTTTTATAAATGAAATCTTGCATCCTGAGTTCTAAATATATTGTTAGTTTTTTTTTTCATTTCTGGTAGATATCTATATATAAATTGTGTTAAAGGAAGACAGGTTGATTTGGTGTAGTATGCATAGTATCGACTTGGACACGTCAAGTATTTGTCAAGGACAGCCTTGATGTTTGACATTTTAAAACTTGTTTTACTTCATTAATTGTATATTAGGGTTTAGGAGAGTATGTTGCAGTTTGTCTTTATTTCTCATGTCCCGTTTTATTTGTCATGTCAATCAGATGCAGAGGCAGAGAAACTGCCTCTGCAGCAGCTTGTTCGTGCAAATAATACTCTAGGTAAAAGTATTACCTAGAGTACAAGTCTAAACAGTTTGTGTCCAGGATGTGTGTGGTCTGCAGGAGTACTGAAGCCCTTTTCTTGACCTTAAACCTGTACAAGACCTGCCTTGCAGGAAGATCAGCCCTGATGCTGTTCCAGTGAACAGGACAGAATCAAATTTGTCACCAATGTTCTATGCACTGAATCTGTATTGTTTTACTCTAAGGGCTTTAACAAATTACCTGATGTTAATATTTTTGGTGTTAAAAACAATTTGACATGTTTTCCATATAACCCACTGGCAAGGTAAAGTAACACACATCAGGCTAATCTCATTCTCAAATCATCTACAACAACTGAGGAAATATAGGTTACATTTAATTTCCCTCTGGGATTAATAAAGTTTTTTAATTAAACTCAATAAAGGTACTGATAATATAGTAATTAAAATACTGCTATATTTATAAGATTTTTTCTTTCAAAAACTTATTTAAAATAGTTGAATTTGCAATTTTTAATTCAGTGTAGTTTATCAAAACGTATTCAACATTTTGAAAATCATACCAGTTTTAGCCCGTTTTTGCTTGTAAATTTATTTCATAATGTGATAGAACCAACATGTTTACATTTTTTTGTTTGTTTAATATTATCTGGTGGTAGGGTGTTATTTTTATTCTAAGTGATACAAATTAGTGAAGCAAATGGCCGTAACCTGTGTTTATAAAATAACACGATGAACTTTTTTTTTTTTTTGTCCAATTATGTTCAGAACTGATACTTCCAAAAATAGCCAGCCACTCTGTTTTACACCACAGAAGAAGGCGGGTGCTGATACAAACACATCTGGGTTGTTGCTAGGCAGCTCATCGGTGACAGAATCCCTTCTGTTCAGATCGTGAGTCCTCGTGCTTTTCCGGATCCTCTCGCGTCCTCCGAGCATTGGATACGGCTGATGTCACAGGCAGCAGCGGCAGCGCCAGTTAGTCCGGCGGAGCTGAGGACTGGAAGGACGATGGCGATCGACAAAGCGACTCTCTTCAGTTAAGCCTGACAATTGAAACCATTATCAGAGAACCGCCAACAATGGAGAGGCAGGGGCTCCCCGACCAGGACCAGCTGCTGCAGTTTCTGAAGCGGCTGAAGGAGGTTTTTGATGTTTGTGACGAGGATGCTGACGGCTTCATCCGGGTGGAGCACTTGATGGACCTTGGGCTTCAGTTCGGTCAAGGAGACGAGGTGAGCTGAGGAGAATGAAAGAGACAAGGTGGGCTAGTTTAGGTTAAAAGACTCGCTAATGAATATTATTACTTTAAAAAGCATTCCAACATTTTCTCTGAGGCTAGTCGGAGAATAATGGAGTCTAGTGCTTGGTATCTAGACAGCCAGTCATAAACCTTGACAGGTGCTGCTGGCTGGAGAGCTTCTAGCATCAGGAAGGTTGCGCGGGGCCCTTGACTTTGGCTTCGGGGACTACTTCCTAGCACCACGACGGTCTCAATGCTTGGTCATTTGTACTCTGTCCATAAAAAATGGAATAAAATTATGTTTTTTTGACTACAGATATGGAGGAGTCTGAGGACCCTGGACTGTCAGGGTCTAATTAATCACACTCCATGTAATCTTTGCAGGGTTCCCAGTATTCTGTCCTATTTTTTTTTTATCATGCACCTCCTTATTAGTACACTGCTCAAAAAAATAAAGGGAACACTCAAATAACGCATCCTAGATCTGAATGAATGAAATATTCTCATTGAATACTTTGTTCTGTACAAAGTTGAATGTGCTGACAACAAAATCATCAATGGAAATCAAATTTATTAACCAATGGAGGCCTGGATTTGGAGCCACACACAAAATTAAAGTGAAATGTTCCCTTTATTTTTTTTTTTTAGCAGTATATAACAATGGCACTGTTAGCATTAGGAATTAATTATATGCAGCCAGCCCTGTGAATCCGAGTACATTATAATACAATTTATATTCTATTACTTTGCTCTTTTTCTTACCGTTACAACCAACCTGACTTCAACAGATTGTACCTTGTATTACCATGAGGTCAAAGGCAATGTTACTATTGTAGTTTATAGAATTGTTCAAACATTTTCTAGGTATGCATTTCAAGTTTCAGGAGAAAAACTGTCGAATGTTAAACTTCAGCCGATCTAATTAATTACCTGGTTCTGTTAGATTTCATGACATGTGAACACATTCTAAGCTCTGCAATAGATTCTGCCATATTTTATACATTTCAGAAGTCATAGAAAGTTTATATATCATGTCATGGTATAATGATATTCCCTCATCAAAAACATGCCTGGAGAGTTGCTTTGATTCTTTCATGCATGTTTGAGGAATCGTTCAAAGGCAACCAAGTGCTTGCTCTCACACAAAACAGACTATTTCCACAAAGCTCCTCATTGGAGTTGCAGCCCTCAGCCGAACTTCCACCTCACAGATCACCACTTCCCCCCACAACCACACACAGCTCCTCCAGACTAAGCAGCAATTAGCAAACACCTGGTGGAACTGTTAGCCTGCTGAGCTCATTACACAATTGACTTCTCAGTCCAATGCTCTTAAGAACACCGCTGAAGGGTCAGTGTCAGAAAGAGCAGGAGCTTCTTAAAGAGACAGGACTGGAACGGGCCGGTTTAATAAGAGAAACATGAAACACAGGGTGGATCTTTAACCCATCAGGAAGCCTGAGGCGTAGGGCTGAAGGACTGAGAACAGAGGTTATTTCAAAGGGACCAATAAAGCGAGGGGAAAGCTTACGATTGGATGATTTGAGATTGATGTCACGAGTGGAGAGCCAAACCTCTTGTCCAGGTGAGTATGACGGTGCAGGGGTTCTTTTACGGTCAGCCCATCTGCGGTTTCCCTCGGCTGTCTGGTTGAGAGCAGCATTGGTCTGTGTCCAGATGTGTCTGCAACGGCGGAGGTGATTGTGGACAGAGGTGACTGATGTTTGTAGCTCGTCTGAAGGAAACGGAGGGGGCTGACTCAAAAGGTGATAGGTCAGTGGCTGTTGTGTGCATACTCCACCCAAGGCAAGTGCACACTCCAGGATGAAAGGTGTGACGAACAGAGACAATGAAGGGTAGCTTCAAGCTCCTGGTTCAGACGCTCAGTCTGACCATTAGTTTGGGGATGAAACCCAGAACTGAGGGTTACCTTAGCTCCAAGTGCGGTGCCAAACTCCTTCCAAACTCTAGAAACAAACTGTGGACCTCTGTCCGACAGAATCTCAGAGGGGATACCATGCAGACAAAACACATGTTTCGTTAGAAGATGGGCAGTTTGCATGGCAGTGGGAATTTATTCATTACAGTGATTTGGTTTAAGGCTCTGTAGTCAATACATGGTCTGAGTGTTCCATCCTTCTTACCAACGAAGAAAAACCCGGCTCCCAAAGGTGAAGTGGATGAACGGATGATGCCAGCTGCAAAGGACTCACTGATGTATTTCTCCATGCTCTCCCTCTCCGGTTTGGATATGCTGTACAAACGGCTGGTAGGTAGTGGTGCTCCTGGAAGTAGCTCAATGGCACAATCGTATGGACGGTGAGGAGGAAGAGAGAGAGCTTTTGACTTACTGAAAACCATGCGAAGGTCATGGTATTCAGATGGTACACTGGCTAGGTCAGCTGGAGAGGGTTCATCTGCAGGCTGAGAAACTACTGAGGGAAGAGCAGAGTGAAGACACGATGACAGACAGTATGTGCTCCAGGACTCTACCCGACTGTTCCTCCAATCAAGGTGAGGATTATGACGGAGAAGCCATGGATAGCCTAGAACCACTGGAGACTGGGGAGAAGGGAATACAAAAAAGGTGATTTCCTCACGATGATTTCCTGAAACCAAAAGCTCAATGGGAATTCTGCAATGAGTAATGACAGGTAAGGCTTTACCATTAAGTGCAGAAACCAAGACTGGGGCTAGAAGAGGAACAGTGGGTATCTGGAGTTGATTTACAAGGTTATCATCAATAAGGTTCTGTTCACAACCAGAATCTATTAAAACAAATGTCTGAAAGGACTGATTACTTGTAATCAGTGAACATGGTAGAGTTAAACGGGAGGCTTTCTTAGAGTGGCCCACCACTTCTCCCGTAGCTAATGATGGGCTTTGTCTTTTGGCAGGTTCTTACAGTTAGCAATGTAGTGCCCTGTTTGACCACAGTAAAGGCAGGCGCCAGACCTCATGCGACGCTGTCGTTCTTCGGGAGTTAGTCTGGTTCTTCCTATTTGCATAGGTTCCTCAGGGGATTGATCTGTGGGGGCAATATTGAATTCCACTCTGTTTGAGCATATGCTCAGTTCTCTCTTAGAACGGGTCCTGTCTCTGACCCTATTGTCAATCCTGATAGCCATAGAGATTAGATCCTCTAATGAGCCTGGTTCATCTCTGTAAGCCAGTTCATCTTTAATGTTCTCATTCAGAGCTTGTAGAAAACCTCCCTTTAATGCCTCTGTGTTCCAACCAGAAGAGGCTGCCAGGGTTCTAAAGTCAATAGCAAAATCTGCTACAGCTTGACAACCCTGCTTTAAATTCCACAGCTTGTGGGTAATATCAGAACGTGATTCAGTATACCCAAATGTCTGTTTAAACGCGGACACAAACGAATCATAAGTCCCCTGAAAAAAGACTTGTCCAAACTTAGCCTCTGCCCATTTTAGCGCTCTTCACCTTAACAAACGAGATCTTTGCAGCATCTGTCTGAAAGCCTTCGGGCGAAAAAGATACAACTAAAGAGCATTGTAATAAGAATCCTCCACATTTACCCATCTCACCCGAATAGGGCACAGGTGTGGGTGGGGAGACCTCTCTGAGACGAACGGACACTGGAGGTGTTTATGCAGGACTGGTGGAAGCGCAGGCTTGGGAAGGGAGTGGATCTGCAGCAGGAGGTGGCCCCACAGCGGGAGGTGGGCCAGCAGAAACAAGCTTTTGGTGAAGCTCCTTAGGCATTCCAGCAAATTGTTCTAAACGCTGGTTAGTATTCATTTGTTGATCGTATAAAGCAGGGGTCCCCAAACTACGGCCCGCGGGCCGGATCCGGCCCGC